AACATCAAATAATAATTTCACGTCACAATTTATATAATATAATTTATATTAACACTTTATATACCGTTCAATTGTATAAAAAAAATGTCACCTTGTGGTGCCTCTTGTGACGGCTGAGAAGACTGGCTGCTTGTCGGTCCACGCGAAGAAGTTTTTGTCGGTCTGCGTGAAGAAGTGCTTGTCGGTCTGCGTGAAGAAGTGCTTGTACAACCCACCGAACGACCTCTCGAATTATCCCTGTACTCCTAGTGCGATGGTTTACACTTCGTTGAATCGGTTTTCTTGGGACGACCTCGCATATTTTCCTTAACCTCAAGTTCTGCATAAGCTTGTTGGTCCGGGTAAAGCTGAGCGTACATGAGGTGATTCATGTAGCGAATCGTCGCAGGATCGCCATTTCAACCTCTTGGACAAACGTTCGAAATACATCAAAACATCTGTCCATGCACTCTGGTTATCCTGGGTCTGGTTATCCTGGCTTTGGTGATCTGTCCCTACAAGTGTACGATTAAAAAATTTCAATGAATTTAACAACGTAATGTACTTTAATTTGTAATTAACAATGAATCAGAAAGTAGAAAATTGTAAATGAAACATTAACTAATTACCTGGCTGTAACATCTCTAATGTCCTCCATAACTCGTGGATATCATTCAATACAATCGAAAGGTCAGAATCAGATGTCGTACAAAGCGTACAAGCACAAGGAATTCTATGAGTGGTAAGCAATACACAACCGCAGCGCTCGTAAACTTTATAGCTCAAGTCTCCCATCCTCGTCATCTCAGAGTTCAATATGTCCAGACAGTAATGCGAGACCCTCAGTGTCAAGCACGCGAAAGGGAATCCCGTAAACTCCGTATACCTCCTAAGTCTCGAAGACTCAAGCGTTGTCCTAGTAATATATTACAAAACATTATATTATAGTTAATGTAGTAATAACAATATTGTGCATTTATCAATTTATTTATATATAAAAAAATATATTTAGTATTTATTATTATTTAATTTTTAATAATAGTGGTTGTTTGAATAAATAATATCTAAATATTAAATAAAATATATTTTTATATATTATATTTTGGTTGCCTTTTTTATTTATATTTATTTTTTAAATAATAAATCGAACCTAAAACGAAATACCCAGAATTCTAATATATGTGAAACGAAATAACACAGTTAAAAATAAGGAATGTACCTTATTTCAGTCAACTGAGATTTTATCTCCGCATCAATTTTCTGCCACACTGTATCGAGCGCACCGATCGACGTGTGAAGCCACTGCTTCAACACGGAGTGTGCACTCTCCACCCTACAGGAAGTAGTGTTGCCAAAATGTGTTATCCGGTTAGTCCAAGCTTTCACGAACTTCTCCTTGTGGACTAACCAGGTATGCTCGACATATTGTAACACTTGTGGGTCATTCTTGTATTTTGCACGCAATTGAGCTACGACAGTGTCATACTCATCAATCGTACTGGCATCGACAATCGCCTTCCACCTACCGCGCAAGAAACTCTGAGCTAATTTTTTATTTTTCCCAAGCAGCATGTAGACTCTGTCTTCCATATCCTTGTTGATGTGCTACGTGCAGAGTAAGTGGCAGACTGGGGAAAGTTCCTCCTAATAGGAGTCATTAAGCCCAACTCTCTGTGAGTGACAACCGCATTAGGATGTACCTGAGCAGCGGCGGATATAGAAATATTAATGAGACAGAGCAAGAATTGCTGAAATATTTTTACTACATTGCACAAAATACTTTTATTACTAATTAAATAAATATTTTATGCTTACCTTAGAGCCTATCAGAAGTCTCAGCTTATGGAGAACCCAATCATAATTGGCCTCTTTCTCGTCTTTCATGAGTGCGTACGCAATCATGAAATTATTGTTGCACGGAGTCATGCCAATCATCTCGACCAACGGCATCTTGTACCTGTGCAAATGAGATCAAAAGACAAAAAATATAATCACATAAAATTTAATCGAACATATTAATTTAAATTCATACTAATAACGTATTTATAAATTAACACACCTGTTGGTTTTGTAGGTGGAATCTATGTCGACATACAAGTAATATGTCCGGAATAGTCTGACTGAATCAGGATGGGCCATGAATATGTGTGTCAACGCATTTGTGTCCGGATCGACATCTGTATAAACTATATACTTGCTGCTCCTAGCCAAATGTAGAAGCTGGGTAGTAACGTCTCTACCCTCGAAACTTTCCTGGCGCAGCCTATCTCTATAGTTATATATATGTCGTACAGTAGCGTGATCTCCCAGATTTTTTTCCTAGACAGCGGCCAAAATATTTGCTGGTCTCGCGTGCTCAACAGTCATACACGAATAATATTTTTTGATGACTGGTTGATACCGCTATACTGTCGATGGCCCTCGGGATACACAACAAATGAATGATTGTGGAAGCCTTTCTCTTTGTTTTGACACGTGTGGATCATATACAATGTCGTTCCGGACACCCGCTTTACTCTTATCTCAAAAGAGCACTGACACTTTTTGGTTTCGAACTTTTAGAAGCAACATCTATGTTCTTGCCTCTATAACGTTCGCCTCGTTTGCACTTCAAGATCTTCAACCTTCCTCCTTTTGTGTGTTTCGAAATAATCAAATTCGAAACCTGCCAGAAGTGCCGTAGTTTTTGCATCATTAATCGCAGCCTCATCACTAATAAAGAATGTAGTTGTATCGAAAGCGTGACTGTAATCAATACCATCTTCTCTAAAATCTTCCAATGACACTTGCAATATATTACGATATTTATAATTTCAAAACATGTTAAATTATAACCTATAACATAATAACTCCTAACACAATAATATCTAACGTCCAATTTATAACATAATTATTTCGAATCTCTAACATAATAATTTCTAATACCTAACGCAATAATATCTAACGTTCAATTTATAACATAATTATTTTGATTGTACAACATAATAATTTCTAATTCCTAACGTGATAATATCTAACGTCCAATTTATAATAGAATTATTTCGAATCTATAACATAATAATTTCTAATTCCTAACGCGATAATGTCTAACATCCAAATTATAACATAATTATTTCGATTGTACAACATAATAATTTCTAATTCCTAACGCGATAATATCTAACATCCAATTTATAGATAAACAAATCTAATTAATTTCTAACTCCTAATAGGATAATATTTAACGCCCAATTTATAACATAATTATTTCGAATTTATAACATAATAATTTCTAACTCCTAAAGCGATAATATCTAACGTTAAATTTATAACTTAATTATTTCGAACTTATAACATAATAATTTCTAATTCCTAAAATATTTTCTATAACAAAATATATTCTAATAATACTATTTAAAATAATAATAATAATAAAAAATGGTGTCCGGCCGGTCGGACCGGACGGACCGGGTTCTGTCCGGCCGTCGCCGCCGGACACCAAGTGGGCCGTATGGCCGGTCTGTCCGGACATGGACCGGTCCGTACGGCCCATTTTACCGCCCATAGACGGTAATGTCCGGCCGGATGCCATTAATGCCGTCCGATTTGGTCGGTTGGACACGGCCGGTCACGTAAGGTTTTGCCGGCCGGACGGAACCAAAAAAAAAAAAAAATAATACCTCTGATGAAGAAGACATTTTGATGGAGAGAACAAATGAGGGCAAAATAGTCCAAGGGGGGCAGTGACTAGTAATAGGGGGGCAGTAAATAGTAATACCCTTAAAAATTTTGAAGTATTTAATTAAAATTTTAAAAGAGTTAAAAAGTAATTTTGAAGTATTCAATTGCAATTAAAGGCGATCAAGTATTTAATTGGAATTTTAAAAGAGTTAAAAAAAGTAAATTTGAAATATTCAATTGCAATTTAAGGCGATACATAACATCTTCTTCTTTTTTTTTTTTTTTAA